TTTTAATTTATTATTTTTTTTTTTTTGGGGTTGTGGGGGATGGAGCAAACTTTTAGTTTACATTTCCTTTTTCGATTTGTTTATAATTATAAGTTTAATATAATTAATCAGATTAGTTACATGTCCTTTCAACTCAATATGGATCATAGCAAGGATCTCAACTATCTACCGAAGTACGTTATTATAGGCTAAACAAGATGTAATCGTAATATTCAACAATATAAGAAAGTGGCTAAATAGACGAAAATATAAAGAGCAAAAGAAAAAAAAAAAGAATTATCTTTAATAAAGAATATTCCTAAATACAATAAGTTCTTGGGTTGACTAATGTTGACCTTTTTTCCTTCGAAAAGTCAATTGAGTGTGGGATAAGATAATCCATGTGCTTAAGCTTTAAATAAATTAATAATGATAATAATTGTAACAACCTATTACAATATTAATCAATCATTTGAATAGGAACTTTATTCTTTGTTTTGTGATAAGGGACCGATAAGTGGGACAATTAGGACGGTAATAGATATCATTAGGTAATCAATTATTGGGTTACAAATTATTGCTCTTTATTATCCGTCAGTTGAATTACCTATCTCTCAGTCTAAAAGAATATGTACCACACAAGTAAAATTAACATCTCTGATGAATATTCCGCGCATGTCTCGACTAGCCTTTTCTCTCTCCGCTCAATAGCTAGCCGCAGTAATAGGAGCCTATTTGGAATCCTATTAAAATTTGTATCCTTGAAATCGAATGTAATATCCATCTTCCAAGACTCAAAGAAGATGTGATAGGATTTGGTACTTTGACACGAAAGCATTTGTCCAATATGAGCAGTAACTAAGTATTCCCCCAACTTTTTCAATTCACCATTTCGAACCTCATACAAAAGGTTTTTTCGTACCAACTTTTTTCAAATCCCCCAGCTAACTAGGGGCTTCATTGGAGTTTCATCATGAGTATTCAAGAATTACTCCATAAAATTTTCGAGTTTAGTATATTAATATGTCGTGTATAATTTAATTGAATGCTTTATGCCAACTTGTGCGAGTGCTATGTTTGCAACTAAAAGTCCCAACATGCATATAGATAATAATGGAATTTAATTTAATAGTGTAATTAAGTAAATAAACACATTACTTTTCTTCAAAGAAAATCAATTTGATCATGAAAAGACAAATAGAATAATAAAATGGCTGGAAAGCAATGTATATGCAACTACAAAAAGAAGAAACAAAATGAATTGTGTAATAAGTTGATTAATTTAAATAATTAGGTTTCTGTCTCTGAAAAGTCAGCTGTAAAATAACTGCCACGGACGCCTCATATCTTCAATTTTGACTATCACCTTTTCAAATCTCATAGGATGTTTTTTACCCATTGCTTCTTGAATTTACAATTATGGCCTGTTTGATTGGCCAAGAATTTCACTTTGTAGCTTTATCCTTGTTTGATGGCATATATTTACCATAGAATTAGTATTCCATGTTTCCATCCCATGCGCCACTTTTCCTTGTTTTCATGGAATTCCAATTCTTATGGGTATCGTAAGAATTGGAATTCTAGACAATTTTTTTCTTTTTTTTGGTAATAGAAACAAATTCTAAAAGTTATTGTAAAAAAATATTTTTCTTTAATTGACAATTTTCATGTAAAACAAAATCAAACGAATACTAAAAGAACGATGATTTTTTTGATTTTTTTTTTATTGTTGGCAATGGAAACAAATTTCGTTTCCAATATTAGTAAAATCTATCATTTTAATTGACAATTTTTATATAAAACAAAGTCAAATGAATACAAAATAACATATTCCATGTGAAAAATTATACCAATCAAACACAATAATTTATAATTCATAGGAAAACAATTTCTAAGCAATTCAATTTCCTGAAATTTGTTTTCTTTCCACCCAAATTCCATATTTGCAATCAAACGGACCCCTAGCAAAAAGAACTTTCAATGTTTTCATTATTATTAAAATTGAAACTATGGCATTTTCATCAATGAATCTAGATTTTGATTACGTATGATCTCCTTTAATTTACTCGAAACATGACGAAAATTCTCA